ACATAGAAAATACGAAAGACTTAAACTTGGCGGTGGGCAAGCTTACGGCCGTTCAAGTGACTAAGCTGCTGTTGTAGCATAGGATACTTAAGATAGGCATGATGTGCTTTGCAAAGCCAGTATTGACAGAGGACTTGTGTAAAGTGCAGAAACAAGAATTTCCAATAACATGCTATATGTGCTATAGAAATGTTTAACAAAAGGCCAATCATATTCATAAGAGACCAATGCATTTCATCAGAGAGGATGTTACATAACGACTATTACCGCAAGGACACAGGTTACAAGAAAAGTCTCTGGTAGTGAGTCTCAAGAGGTTTGACACACAGAAGAAATGATTGGCAGTTACTGCCAGTCGTAAAGTAACTCTGACACTTAACTCATCTTTTACTTTCCTTGATACAAAAGCACAATAGACCACTGTAGGTCGCGGAGCAAGGACCGAGAAGGTCTACTCTTCATACATACATTCCTTGATACGATACTGACCGCATAGAAAAAGGACACGTCCAATAATACTTCTATTGTTGAGTGTGAATTCGTTGTCACTAAAAGGTGTTTACAGAGCCTTTGCCTAATAAGGTTAGGGAGAATTTTACCGAATCGTTGCCTATCAGCGATAGAGGGATACCCATATAGACACACAGACTGATGGGAGGGATTTATGAAGTACGCCGTTTGAGATGGGCTCACGTGCCATGACATACATACCAAGTTTTATAAAGACTGGTTCAGGTTAAATATATTAGAAAAACCTGAGCTGCAGTATGAAGCGTCATTGAACGAAGTGAATGAAATAAAACACAAAGAACAAGTGGTCTCTGTCCATCTGTCTGTCCGCATGGTTCATCTGCGATATTTCTGAAGGGTGTTGTTGAAATACTAGCATTTGAATTCTATAATCACAACTGTCAAGTTAATTTAACTTTGGTTGGCATCTATTCAGGACATCCCTAACTTCAAACGAAGATAAACGAAATTTCCCAAATACTTTATCTACTAAGCATGCGTGCATTACAAAGGATATAGAATTCATTGAGGCCCACAGCTTGCAGCTGAATCACTAATATGTGACATGAATATTAACTTGGCATGATAGGTAGTTAGCCAATAAGATTAAAATCAGTCAAAGATACGATTTTCATCTGTAAGAATAAGATAATGATTTATCACATTAATAGTCAGAACGATAGATTAAGCCGACATTCAGACGGCAATGTCTAGCATGATATACATGTATAAAGTTTCGGCCACACAGAGCGCTACGTACGCTATGTTCGCTATACGAACAGAAAAATATCTCCCTTTATTGCCAATGTAACTGGCCACACAGACTTCCGTACGCTACGTACGCTGTTTCTATGTTAGCTGCGTCGCAGAGTGTACACAGCGTACGCAGTGTAGGTAGCATACTTAGCGTAGCGCTCTGTGAGGCTGAACCTTAAGTAGGTACACATAACTAAATTGTATGAAGTAGAGTCCTCCTTGAGAACCTAACTTTCGCCCAGCTAATCATGAAATTGAAAATGTTCTGACCATTCTGAAGCTTTCATTATCACATTAAAAATATCTGCCATTGTTCTCTATCTTGATCTAGATAAATCCATATATCCTTAATTTTTAAGGTTAATTTGATTGTTATCCTCTCATTTACGTCTACGTTTTTCAAGCGGTTATTTCCCTTCAGATTATCTGATAATTTGTGCATGACTTTATTTCATTACAGCTGGGCATGTAGCACGCATGGGGGAAATTGATTCACACGGGTTTTCTGTGGAAAGTCCAGAAAGAAAGAGACCAGTAAAAAGACATACAAGTATGTGGGAGGGTAATATTAAAATGTACCTTAGAGAAATAGGATGGTGTGTTGCGGATTGATTACATCTGGCTCAATAAATGGACCAATGAAGGGCTGTTGTGAGCACGGTAATGAACCTCCATGTTCCATAATGTGTTAAGGAATTTTTGAGTATCTGTTCGATTGGTGCATGGAGTTAGGAAATTAATCAATCATGCGTACTGCATGTCTCTCCACTTTACCACATTTACTTCATCATCCTAGTAAGCTAGCTGTTACTGGGTTCTCTTCAGTCTTCTCTCATCGTACAGCTTTTAAATATAAATCCGTAATTATGCAATAAGACGGCCATTCTAGCACTGCCTACTGAAACCTATCTGAAGTTAAATTTTGTCAACAATACAGATGGCTTTGGAAACAATGGAAATCGTTAAAATATCTGGTAATTTTATCACATGAAATCATTACGTCGGATGATTTATTGTCACTGCATGTGATATATTATCTTGGTTGATGGTTGCCTGTTTTCTGTGCATTCCTTGCAAGGAGTGCATAATGCAGAGGTCATACCTCCTCCTCCGTCCGCATGTTATTCCCCGAGACTACTTAATTGTTTCGTATTAAATTCTATATTTATACACAATTTGAACGTTGTTCAGTTCATTTAGCTTCCGTTAACATAGGTTGAATTGAGCCCAACATAAGAAATTCAATCAAAATCTATAAACTTTCTCGAAAATATCTCGCATTACTAAAAGTTTAGAGAGGGATTCAAAATGTTCCTGTAGTTAAAATCTGTTTGTATATGTAGGAAACTTATGGAAACACAGGAACAACATTGAGACAAATATTTGTGATAGATATTTGCAGCGATACTATATTTTCAGTTGTTGCTTTTATGTAAAATATTTTAAATGGGGCACGCCGTAGCGTAGTTGGTTGAGGCACTAAGCTACAAGTCAGAAGCTCACGGGTGCGAGTCCCGATGAGGTGGATTTTTTCAATTGACCTAATCCTTCCAGCCGCACTATGGCCCTGGGGTCGACTCAGCATCTAACAGAAAGGAGTACCAGGAATATTCTTGGGGGTAAAGCGCGGCCGGCACGTAAGGCTGACAATCTTACCAAAGTCTGACATCTCTATGGGCCTTCATGACCTGTTACAGGTATACTTTTACCTTTGTATTTTAAATGCAGTAAATGAACCTGCAGGTGAATATCTCGAAAAACGCATTTGAGAATTTCATATATACTCCAGTGGAGGACAGTTTCCAAACGCCTTCCTTATGATTATACACATCTGATGATGCCTAGAACAAGATAGGAAAAGTGAAATCTACACAATTTACATTCTCCCTTTTTACGCCCTTTCATTCTGTGTGCTTCTAGCTGTTCCGGATAGCTTTCATGCAGATGTTAACTACAACAAATTATTACTACGGTTAGGGTGGTATGGTCGTTATGCTTCTTATGTTTGCTCTGGTTACCGGTTTGCATCTCTCCTGCCTCGCATGTTCGTAGGTCTGGAATCGTGTTAACACTGAATATATAAAATAAAATACGTAATTTCTAGTGGCATTCAAGGGCATATAGTTTGTAATAGGTTTCACATATACCTGCCCAGGGGTTCTTGACTTGAAATATAAGAACTGACGGACAGATATGGCCTCTCGTATGTATGTATTTTGCGGTTTCGTTTTGAAATTTGTGAGAATAAGGCATAATAACTTATAACGTAGAAGATCACCCGCAAGTGGGGCTTGCTTTTGTCTGAAATGCTTACATATTTTTGTTACCACAGTGCTAATGATTCATTTAATACCATTGCTCATGTTAACGTCACTACTCGAAAAATAAAAAAGAAAACAAAAATCAAAATTAGCAGAAACTCAATACGAGGACGACCACAAAATGCTCGTGTACTGGAAAGAAACGAGGGTGTTGCAGATTGAAACGAACACAACCAAAAGGAAACGAAACGAATCCTCCAACATATCTTTGGTAGATCATCCGATCCGTCAGCCCAGCTTGGATATCTCCCCCCTCCGGACATCCATTCTAGGAGCATTAGTCACAAATCTACAACTCTGTCCAATGTAGAAAACATGGTAAGTTTTTATGTTGGTATTGCGTATAATTTGTATCTTTCATGTTGGTTTTTATTTTGATAGTATTCTAATTTTATTGACTTTGGTCGTTAAATTATGCATGGCCATAGAAGCAAGGCCTTAGGTGTGTGGAGTTGTTTAAAGTTTGTCTTAACTCCCGCTAATGGTTTATGTTGTGTTGGTTTATATATCCGGTCTTGTGTTCGTTCTGTTGCCCAGAGATAGGGACTAGCTCTATCGATTTAACCCAACTGAGTAGGCTTTTATTTGAAGACGGGGGCACAGTCCTGTCTCCGAAACGTTTGTTCTTGAATAAAGAACAGGACGATTCTAAAACTCAATAATATTATTAATGTACCATCCTCACAAAGTTTTATATCTTATTTACTGACACTTATTATAGCTTTGCGTTTTTACTATTTCATTTTATAGCCTTATTCCTTATAAGCTAGAAGTCTTAACCGTAAAAAAAGTAGTAACTATATCCTGTACTTGGAATACACAGGGTTATAAAATAACGCTTTTTGATCCTTCTTTTCGGTTTTTCATTGTAGATGTCTATTTAATGCTGACGAAGAAGAAGTATGATACACTGCACAAAGTCATTCGTTATATTTCCGACAAAGACATAGATATTAGAGGTCTTATACAATTTAACTTCTCCTAACATAACCTAAATGAAAGTATCGCAACCAAAGAGTTTTGCAGTAACAAGCAAGCACCATGTTTGTAAGCAGGGGTTTCTGAATCGAATCTGTCTCGTTGTTATCACTGAGTTCTTCAGTTGTATTAAGATTTTCAAGCGACAAGTTGTGCTGAACGCGTGATTAACGTCTGTATGCATGTAATCACAATTACAATATAGAACGGAGATAAAGAAAACGTTAAGTAATAATTTAATCTTGACAAATGTTCATTTTTATCTCATTGCTTAAGAGTTTATCGCCTTTTTATGTTCGAAACCTGTATGAAATCATAAAAAGTTGACAGTAGAAATGGTAAGGTTAGACATGGATAGGTAAAGTGGTGCTGGGGGGGGGGAAATGGAAACGTAAGCTTACTGTTGTCAGCTCGAGTATTTAGTGACAGCTCGGCACCATCTTCTGTCAGTCAAGGGACGCTCTGCACTGTGGGACTTCGGCTGTCTTCAACATCAGAAATGGTTTTAAGAATCAATCTGTCCTCGCTGGTGTTCACATTTGCCTTGGTAACTGCAGTCACTTGGGCAAGACCCAATTATGAAGACTTAAATGAACGCGGTAAGGGATTAATAACTGAGACTTCTGTTTTACGCTTTCTAGCATAATGTTTACGAAAGAAACACAGAGAGACACGTAAAGGTAAAGTTGTCTTTCTGCTAAACCAATTAACTACAACCCCATGAAGGCGTATGGGGAGTGCATATATAGATCCACATTTTCTTGACCTCAGCACTAGCTGGAAGTGAGTGGTCAGTTTCACTCCCAAGCCGCTTTAACGCTGAGAAATACGTATATTTTTTAATCAGAAAAACCAAAAGGTAAAATAACACCGTGAAGACGGAAGCGTGGATGGGACGAGAATCGATTATTATAATTGATACTGAATAATCAGATCAGCTGGAATAGTTCACAGCCAGTAAATTTACTGGCTGGTGCTTGACGACTAGCATTTCCCATTTGCCGTCGCGTCTACAAAGGGCACCGAACCCACTTTTTATAATATCCGATAAGTACCGATAAGTGTCGCCTTAGTTAAGCTCCCTACACATTACGTAGGAAGTATTGCCCCAAAGTCAAGAACTAGGAACTGAGCTAGTTGTAAGAGTTTTGAGGTTATGTTCAACATATTTAATGCAAACATAAGGTAAAATTATCTTTGTGCTTAGCAAATTAAAGACCACTCCATAAAGAGGTATGAGGGAATGGAGGTATAGCGCCTCTCTTTTTGACCTCAGCTCTAGATGAAGGTGAGTTGTCAGTTTCACGTCCCGGCCATATTATCTCTGGGGAAACATCCCCCGGTATCTATTAGATAGGAGGCTGAATATGTAAACGTAATAAGAAAGGCCGCGCCATAGCTCAAGCGGTTAGTCGCTGGCTTTCCACCGTGGCGGCCCGGGTTAGATCCCGGGTCTCGTAAAGTTGGATTTGTGGTAGACAAAATGGCGCTGGGGCAGGTTTTCTCCGAGTACTTCGGTTTCCCATGCAAATTTCCATTCCAACAGTTGCTCCACAATCACCCTCACCTGTCATCTGGGGCTGGTACAATAGACCAGAAGTGGCCGCAGTACAAGGGACTAAGTCCCATCCCACTAGCAATAAAAAATTACGTAATAAGAAATTCTAAAAAAAAAATAATAGAATAAAAATAATAAGAATAATAGTTCTGTAAAAATAACAACGTATGGAATAGCAAATTGGCCTTTATGAGTTCTGCTCACAACTGTCAAATTTTTCTTTTGTCATATATTTCTTGCAGTGTGAGTATTGTGTTTATAGAAGTATTTAAGCTTTTTAGAATGGTCATTTTTTGGGTCCGTATAGAACATTGTAAAGTTACGTCGGTGTCATCATTCTGTCACATATAGTGTGGGATGAGGGCACTACGAATAGTGTATCTCATGTAACGACGGTCACCTCTAGTTTGATTTCGCAACACAGACTGAGAGAGGCTTGGGGATGCAGCTCCATGCATTAACCTAGCCACTAGGTACAGGTAGATGGTGAGCTTCACCCTCTGGTCGCTATAAATAGCCTCCTCTCCAGACACGGAGGACGTCAGTCTAAGGCATGTACCGTCTTCGCCCGCTCGAAGGCAGGGATCGTGGAATCGAATCCCACACCATACATGGATGTCTGTGTATGTTTATTCTGTGTGTAGGTAGCGGTCTTATGACGGACTGATCCTCCGTCTAAGGAACTCTACCGACTGTATATAGGATTAAGAAACTGTAAAAGTGGCCAAGGTCCAGCAAAAGATTGTAGAACCGTAGACAGACATGTAGGGAGAATCTCAGAACTGTGGACGCTGTGGCGAAGAGACAACTCCCTTACTTCAATGTAACCCCTATGAGCCCGTAGTCAGTGACTATACCTACACCGCAGTTTGCTATAAGCCGTGGGATGAACTTAAGGGAAATTTAAGATTCTATGCAATGTAGCATCTGTACGTAATTTGCATTCTTCTTTTATTGCTAGTGGGATGGGTCTAAGTCCCTTGTACTGCGGCCACTTCTTGCCTATTGTAACAGCCCCAGATGATAGGTGAGGGTGATTGTGGAGCAATTGGTGGAATGAAGATTGGCATGAGAAACCGAAGTACTCGGAGAAAACCTGCCCCAGCCCCACTTTGTCCACCACAAATCCCACTTGACCAGACCCGGGATCGAACCCGGGCCGAATTTACATCTTACATGGTACGTTCTTATCTGTAACTATAATACATAAAACAAATTCAAATCTCGACATAATTTTGTTGAAAACAGACTTAGTCGAAATACCCGCTTTAGTAAATACGATTTAAATTCTTGACAGTGGTTGTATATTAATACAATTATCAGCTTTTTGGTTATTATTCATCGTCCTATTTTTATTTCAAACGATATTTCGGAGAGAGAGTCCAGTCTCCGAAACGTCGTTCCAAATAATTCTGAGAGGTATACTCATGTACAGTGTATACGCATCAAGATACTAGAAGGAATAGCAATATGCACTAAACGGTGCTGCTATCTAGAGGATTTTTTCGACAAAGATGGGGATTATAACGCCGACTCAATTATGCCTTCCACTGTTACCGTTTTTCTTCTTCTTCTTCTTCTTCTTTTTTTTTTTTTTACTATTCATAAATATTTACCATTACAACGAAAGAATAAAGGAGAGGCGAGCAACAGTAAGAGGAAAGTCAATATTCTGGGAGGTCACAGTATCGGTCATTCTAAGCAAAAAAGTGTGAATGTACATGTGGCCTATTCGGAACGGTTTCCGAGATACAGCTATGTCACTGTTCAGCAGTTCGAATGTAGGTCAAGATGCACTCAGACGAGCAGCACGCAATGCCCTCACACGAGTTGCAAAGTGCATTGATGTTGAGGTTGGAATTTTCGAAAAAATATTATACTGGATAAACTGTACCAATTTTGCCACTTGAATAATAAATACCTATATTAGAAACAGTGCGTAATACCTTTCTTATCAACAATTTTTTAACCGTACGATGAAATAGCTCGATCGCGGAAACTTTTCGGGATAGGCCATACGTACATATACAATTTTTGCTAAAAATGGTCCATACTATGACCACCCAGAATATTTCCCTTTCCTCCTGGGACATCCTGTACATTAATATATGTATATATGACAACATTCTGAAGTTAACATTTGCGATATACGCATATTAAAATTTGGACATATCTGTGCATTTGTACTTAGTGCTGGGGAGTGTTATTCGTTTTCTACGAGAATTATCGAGTTTTTTATCAGTGGAGACGGAAAACCTTCGGTGTCTCTCTGTGACAGAATATTGCAGACTGTACCAAAGCAAAACTGTGGTCTCCATGAAACTATGTCTTGAATGATGAATTAAACCTTTGCAGCCTTTCTATATATTACAGTTTCATAATTCACGTTAGGAATGCTATGAACTGTGAAATTATGCTCAATGCTTGCTTTTACTTCTGATTAGCTCATGTATCTTAAATCAATAAATGCAACGAAGATAGAGTTATAGGTTATCTTTTTATTTCATATCTGAGAAGGATATCGATTCTTTCGTAGCTCCATACATATTATCAGAGATTCTACGTCTTCAGTTAGTATAATTTAATATGTAACTTCTGAAGTGTCAAGGGATTATCCCTTCAGATACGAGGCAGACAAATCAAAGTTCGCCGTTAAACAAGTAGGTGTTGAGTGTCTATCAAAATGTCCTTATTTTCTATATAACTGGCGTCTGTTATTGTTTATATGATGTGTAAAAGTAAAAAAAGTAAAGCTATCCCTGTACCAGGCTGTGAAGGCCCATCGGGTTGTGAGACATTGAGGGTCCCACATTATCTAGACAATCGGCTCAAAGATGGCGGTAAGGTTGTCAGCCTTAAGCGGCGGCCCCGCTTAAAATGCGGAAATAAGCTCTAGCGCTGTAAGTGCGTGTAATTACGAGTCATGTGCATAAATGGTCAGTAAATCCATTCACCTATGCAAACCCCGTCTATAATCACCGCTAAATCGTGACAATATATTTAAGCCACTTTGATTCCACCTGCATGCATGTAACCAGAATGACGAAAATTCATACGAGAAGTAATTTCAGTAAAGTGGGAGACATAAGACATTATCATAGTAATTTCAACTGAATTTCTGTTAGTTTATATACGTTTAATTCCAGTTTCACATTAAGATGGCGTCGGAATTCATCTAATGACGAAGTGGCAGAAGCAATCTGCAAAATGAAAGTATAGATTTATAATTGGAACTGAATATTGAACCAGTGTAAGATTCTTGTTCTGTCTTGACGATATCCACTGTCCTCCAAATCCGGGAACCTGTAATCAGGGACAAAGGCTCCCACATATCAACAGCAGAAACTTTAAGGTAATAGTTTGTAAATCTTGTTGGTTGAGGCACTATGCCACAAGCCGGAAAGTCGCGGATTCCATTCCCGAGAAGCTCACGGGATCTTTTTCAATTAACCCAATCCTTCCAGCCGCACTATGGCCCTAGGGTCGACTCAGCCTCTAACAGAAATGAGTACCAGTAATCTCCCTGGAGATAAAGGGCGGCCGGCGCGTAAGGCTGACAACTTCACCGCCGTCTGTGAGCCGATTTTCTAGGAAATGTGGGAGCCTTGACGTCTCACAACCCTATGGGACTTCACTACCTTTACTTCTACATTCAAACCCGAGCAAAGAGAAATTCAAGCAAAAGAACTAATTACAAAGACGCTTAATATTTTCATAAACACAATAAAACAGCAGATTGTAAGCATAAGTGTATTAACATAAATGGATATATTTATTGAAATGGAAAGTGGAAATATCCATTTTATATTGACCACTTGTCACCATAGCCTGGCACGTCCTAAAGTCGGTTGATGTTTAGCGGCCCACATAACATTACATCCCAGAAGAAAAACCTATTCATAACCACCGCTGTGAGAATTTCAAATCCTAGAGATTATTATTACTTCATATTCATGAAACGTAGACCTTTGAATGGTAAATTGCTTCTGCCTTTCCTCGCTCCCATGGGCCACATGACCATATTTCACCGTCTGACGGCTCCGGAAGCCTTCAGATCGCTCACTCTGTAAAGACTGAATTTCTTCTACATGGTATATAAAAATTCAGTTCTTACCTCACAGGAAACACAGTACCGCTACACTGTTAAGATCAGTCAGTTAGGGTTTTTAGGAAGAAAATCACTGCTTATTGTTGGAAACATACGAAATAGACAAATTCAATATGGGCAGAATTCATGATATTTTCAAGGAAGTTGTATATATATTAAATACTTGGCTTTAAAGGGTTAAAGAAGTAGACGGTATTTTATTCATACCATATTTAAATTTAGCTACAATTGCCATTGGATCCGGGATAGCGTATGGCAACGGGTTGGACGATCGAAGTGTCGGAGTTCGGGTCCCGGTAGAGTCAAGAATCTTCTCTTCTCCACGTCGTCCAGACTGACTCTGGGACCCACTCAGCCTCCTATCCAATGGGTACCGGGGACCCTTTCCCCGGGGGTAAAGCGGCAGGGGCGTGAAGCTAACCACTCACTTCCAACTAATGCCAAGGTCAAGAAAATGTGGATCCATACATCCACTCCCCCATTCGCCTTCATGGCGTAGTGCTTAATCAGTTAAACACAGGACAAATTTACCTTCCTTACAGTTCGTTCATTGTACACATCAGACTGGAAACTAAGAAACCAGTGTGAATCTTTATCAGATGGGTTTGAGCCTTATATTATTTCATGGCACTTTCGAACTGTAAATACTTTATTATTTCGAATGAGATGGAAGGTCTATCATAAATGATATGTCAGGAAAGGTTTCAAGGATGTACTTCAGGATACGACCCCAGAATTCTCCTGAAGAGACAATAGTGTAGCTTGTAGACCTGTTACTGGATAACGACCTGGAAACAAACAACGAAACATCTGTTGCTAGGCAACAAATTTTTAATAAGCAAATATACACAGCCGTTACTAAGTAACGTCTTCGAAAAACGTTCCAACAGAACCAATTGGATTTAAAAAAAATAAATAGTGTTTTCTATGCGGTCCTTGTCAAGGAACTGGAACAAGTTTAGAATTTACTCAATTGTAAGAGAATTCTAAGAGGGTTGTAAGAATATTGTAAGAGCGTTGTAAGGGAGCCTGTGAATAAAATACTTGGTGCAGTTGAGTGCCAGTGGGCAACGAAGTGAATACGGAAGATGAAGAATCTTCACTGTTAGAAGCCGTTACCAGGAAACGACTGGTGAAGAAGCAGCTGACTGAGGAGGCTTAGCATGTGCTGTAGTGATTTGTAAAGTGTGGAGATTAGCAATGGTGCTATAATTAAGTATAGTCACGAGTCGTGTGTTAAATTGGTAAATAAATCCAATCTCCAATCCAAAATCACGTCGATAGTCACTCATGCACGTGACAATATCCTCAGCAGCTTATCCGTCAACCCAGCCTGAAGTCGAGCTACCAAAATGAAAACCTACAGCGCACATGCTCGACCTTGAAGTGATGCCGAAGAAAAATTAAGAAAATGTCAACAATGGAAGCGTCACCTCTAAGGAAGTGTCATCAAGAATGTGTTATTTTTATTGAGGTTATATAATGCTTCAAAGAATCTAGATTTTATGCAGGCTACGAAAGTAGGTTGACCAAGTTATTTTATTTCCAGTTGCCTACCCATTCTCACAATATATCATGCGTAAAATTCATTCTTTTATACTGTTCTGTTCACATACATCATCGCTCCTGAAGAAGTTCGGCTACATGAAGTGAAACGTGTGGAAGAATAGATATATACATTTCTCACGTCTGTAGCATAATATTTCTTATTTCTAAAATAAATATAACCTCTTATTTATGCGTAGGTTTAATACATCGTTCTGTTTATACAGAGAGAACATAAAGATATTTTGCAAATTTCAAGCCTTTAATAAATTTGTCTTTGTTATACATGGCCTGTCACACTTCAATACCAAACTGTGATGGCTTCAGTAATCTTGTTCCATATTTTAAAAATGTATATCTTTCAATTTTATTTCATTTTATCGTATTTATTTTAATCTAGGACATAACACATTACAAGACACGTGAGTCTGTCACTAGTCTACTTTGGTCTACAAAGTGGAATCGTTGTCATGTTGACGGCAGATCGTAACATGAATCTGTATTAAAACAATTTAAGAACTTGGTTTTAGTTTCGTCTGATGATAACCTGTAAAGGTAGAAACAAGTAGCATCATCTTTACATAATAAATAGTAGTGACACGACAGTATTTACGTATTTTCTTCTTCATTTGAAAATATTTACGTTATGTTGACGGATCTGTTTACTCGTTTAATTTTGTTCCATTTTTATTTATATTTCTTAGTAATGGTGACGGATGCTCTTTAACAATTTTCCCCACAAACAGTGGTGAACGAGGATAGACCACATCACCAATCGACACTTATAGGAACTCATCATTAGATATTCACTCACTCATGCAGCTGACCCTTCTTGAGAACCTGCCAATTGTGCAGCTACTCAAGAACTTCCCAGCATTTTATAGAACCCGAAAGTTCATTACCGTGTTCACGAGAGCCCTCCAGTGGTCCCTATCCTGAGCCAGATCAATTCAATCCATACCATCCCTTCCTCTCTCTCTCAGATCCATTTTAATATTGTCCACTTACCTACGTCTTGGCCTTCCCAGTGGTCTCCTTCCTTCCGGGTTTCCTACCAGCATCTTATATTCATTCCTCCTCTCCATGCTATGCCATGCTACATGCCCTTTCCATCGCATCCTCCTTGACTTGAGCATTCTAATTATACTTGGAGAAGAGTACAAGTTGTGAAGGTACATCATTACATATTACTTTTGTTAAAATTTATTGTCACTATAATTGCGTGCAATTTATTTAACGTCCTTGTTAGTAGTTCAAATTACAGTGCATAGCGTCGAATGTTAAGATATTAATTAACAATGATTTCGCTTGAACGTGGAAGGAAGCGGCCGTGAACTCGTATGAGGTAGCATTTCGGAATTTCTCCGAAGAAACTGAAGGAAACTGACAGTAATCTCAGTCAAGATATTCGCTGTCCCGAACGAGATTCGAATCGGCCACTACTCGCACACAAGTCAGAGGATTCATTGTCTGAGTCAACGTTCTCGGCCACTGTAAATAAGATCCTGAATATTCTCCGAGACCTGTCTCGGTGGCCGTGAGGCCTAAGGCAAGGAACACCTTCGGGCGCTCAAACACTGGGAGCTTGCCAGGTTTCTGGCAGGCAGACTTTTTAGACTTGTTTGGTGATTGCGTATGCATCTATTGCGTTCACTGCTCTTTGGTTTCAACAGTCATAAATGAAACCAAAGTTTCATCACTTATTATTCATATGATATAATTGAGAAATTCGTTACCATTTCTGTGGCATTGTTCTAAAAATTCAAAATCAAAGCCATTCTCTGAGTTTTGTGCGCACCTTTGAGAATTTTAGGAAACCATCTTTTACAAAATTAACGACGATAGCCTAGCCTAACTTTGATAATCTCGTAGATTATAGCGTGAAATTTGTGGAAATATATACGAAAGTTCTGAAATTGTGAAGCACAGTTCTCACAAACATTTTAGTCAACATTTTGAACAAGCTCATCATTCACTACAGACGGCCAGCCGACCACTTCTCTCTTCACCGTGAACATTTATTCGCCAGCCCAACTTCAAAACTTCTCCACCATTGTCTTACAGTTCTTTCTGTCGTTACCTTCTGGCCGTAAACCGTTGCTCATAGTTCACGATAGATTTTCGCAGCTGACGGGATTGTCAGTAGCAGGAACATCATAACATACTTTGCAGAGACAAGAACAAACATTAGGTGAACAGTTATGTGATGGTTTACAAGGCAATGAGTCACATGACGCTACCTCGCATGCGCGAGCTCTCCCCCGTTCCTACATTAGTTGCCAAAAATAGATGGAAGTTACTTTCCGAATAGATCTCGTGTTTTGCGTAGTAAACATTCGAGACACGTAGGAAGAGAAGAGACAAGCACGAATAGTCTCTTTTAGGAAAGAGCAGGGTGCAATGTCTCGATGTCCTCTCTCTAAGCACGTTTCTCGACAGGAACACTGTTGTTTACTCTGTTCGGGGCATGTATCTAAGGCAGAGCAACGCCCTCTGGTAAATGTGACTTTAATAACTGGCCATAAACATCAGGCTCACTCTAACGCAATTCCTTCTTTGAATAAAAAAAGGGTGGGAAACGTGTTTGTAATTTCATGCATGTGTAGTACAGGTAGGTCTCTGCGTACCTGGATTTATTGTGTGGGGTCTCTTTATTGTGAGATTCATGATCAACTTCTAGACAAAATTAGGAGTTGACGCTATAAATTATACAATTAGAACAGTGGTACTCTGCTTTCCTCCCCCCCCTTCACCCTTATGAGCTAAGATCCCGAATCTCTCTGGCAGCGTCAATATGAAGAGATCTATGTCCTGCGATTTAACACATTGTCATCTGCTGAAAGTCAACCGATGTTTAGTAGCAACTACATGGCGTTATGTCCCAGAATACAGAACTCTTCTTAACCACTGCTGTGAGACCCTCAAAGCCTACATAGTTTTATATATGCTTTCAGATGACATAGAAAGTATTACCGTTCTCCTTTTACTGAAGAGTCAGGCACCATTTTCCTTCCATCCATCCATCCATCCAGCCATCCATCCATCCATCCACCCATCCATCCATCCATCCATCCATCCATCCATCCATCCATCCAACTGCCCATAAGACAAGTTCAGAGCTCTGTGCATCCATGTACTCACGTGCACACATGCTTCTTTCATGATCGATGTTTACGTTTCAGACACTGCTCACCAGACTCACAGAACAAGACGTCTGAGGCATGTGAAGGACTACAACCCAGAAGATGGTGAGTAACGATGTATATAACACTTTATCGGTGAAGGTCATGGCTGTAGAGCAACAGTGTGTCTGTGTAAGGACTAGTAGGTGTTGCCTGTTTCAACGAAGACATTATCCAAATAATTAAATAATAGATAAATATAGTATAATATTTAAATTTATCAAATTATTTCTAATTTAGTGATTCTCCTTCAGTTTCTGAACTCAAGTATAAACTGCCATTAGTAGCGAAAATAAACCGTAAGTGAATAAGATGTGATGATGTATGTTGGATAATTCTGGCTAGGGACAGGGAGCAGTCACAGTAATGAACATTCTGTGCAATGGAAGTCACAGGATTTCTTGACTAGTTGAGCCACTAATATTTTCTCAAAAATGGTCCTGTACTGAAAAAGCGGCCAAGGTCCACGAGGACTGTAGAGCTATAGATAAATAGGTAGACAGGTGACTGGATGGGAGGGTGGATGAATAGTATATTACCCAGTAAGATATTTTGTTTCTTGTTAATTTTTTGTACTGATGAATACATTTAAACATACTCATTCCATAGCGATCAGACAAACGAAGTTAGGTCTATGAATTCGTCCATTGTAGTACTATATACAAAACATTTCAGCTTAGAATAGAATTGCTGTAATTTTCTGTTGGACATATATTGCATCTTGAAAGCTAACTATTTTTTTAGAATATTTCAATGAAGATTTAGATTGTGGTGAACTAATTTTGTGACCTAGTTTCTGTCTTTCTAACGGACCAGCAGAGTAGAGTAGATGCCTTCAGCCTTATATCCTGAGGACGGAAATACATCCAGTTTCCGAAAATTGTTCTCTTTCAGAATACTAGACGATGCAAGAAACCCAGAAACTCATTCTTTCCAAGTGTTTCAGGAAATTTAATTGAATAATGTGTCTTAGTGCACTTGAAATATTGATATGTTTTCTTTTTCTCGGAGTTCGTTGGAACACGAGTATGAGAAGACTAAATTAAAAACATGATAAGCCAAGTCTCGCTGCTTAGCACATTAATTAGATAACTAGTACAGTACTTTGGTCAATTTCGTTAGTTCATTGGGTTAGAATAGGTTAAAAGATAAAAAGAAATATAAATCTATCCCTATAAGGGACTGTGAAGACCCATAGAATTGTCAGACGTCGAGGCTCCAATATTTTCTACAAAATCGGGACATAGATGGCGGTGAGGTTGTCAGTATTATGCTCCGGCCGTCCTTTACCCACAGGAAGATTCCTGGTACTGAATTCTCTTAGAGGCTGAATGACACCCAGGGCCATAGTGCGCTGGAAGCACCTAGATCAATTGAAAAGTTTAATGACCTCATCATGAAACGAACCCCCGACCTTCCGGCATGTAGGATAGTGCTTCAAGCAACTACGCTACTAAGGTGATCATGGCAGTAATAAGTAACCTTTAGCCTACTTTCCTTATTTTGAAAAAATAAAAGTAAGCTTATAAGATTACCATGCTCTCTGTATATCCCCCATCACTTTTGAATGCCTGAACCAATCTTTGTGAGACTTGGCGTGTATATAATCGTATCTCAGCACATCTCAGCAGCATGTTTCATGAATCCCTCCCATCAGTCCGCGTGTTTATCTTTGCTGGATAACGTTACCGCTGCAACAAGTACTCACACAACAATAGGATAATTGTTAGACGTGTTGTTTTCTATGCGATTCGTGTCGTAACAAAGAAAAGTAAGTGATAAGCTCTTCCCATGTATTAAAACAAATTTACTTTATGTTGTTTGTTATTTCAGATTCCGAGTTCTGGATTAACAAGGCTCAGAGCGTTTTGAGTGCAAAATTGGCAAGAAAAGCTATCACAGGGCCAGCAAAGAATGTTATTATGTTCCTGGGGGACGGCTTCTCGATCCCAACATTGGCCGCTGCCAGAGCGTACCTTGGACAATCCCAAGGGGCACCAGGGGAGGAAACAGAGCTTTCCTTTGAAGAGTTCCCCAATACTGGACTTTCTAAGGTGAGACACACTGCAGTAAGTAAGCTTGCGTTAGTAAGCATAGTGAAACTCGTACATTCTGAATCTGCTGCACAAATGTTTGAGTTTACTGACCTTACTGATCACAAAATAAGTAACAAAATACATTTCTTTCTGATAATTTTCTTTTCACTAGCTCTACGGCCTCCTTCCTCCCTGGCCTCTGATTTCTCAGTTCCAAGATCGTTTCATGGGCGGTAGGACACCTCGGATGAGTGATCATCTCGTCGTGAGACCTCTACCTAAACATAGGACAATGCTAACACAGAATAAACATACACATAAACACACACAAAACATTAATGACTTCTGTAGGATTCGAACTCACGATCACGGCTTCCGTTCGAGCGAAGACAGTACATGCCTTAGGCCGCTCGGCTACAATGACCGGCCGTCTTTCTGATAGTGCATATTTCGAAAATTATTTTAAGCTAAGAATTGAAACTAAGAACTAAGAATTATACAGTACGTAGGTCTATAAGAAATACTCGTGTTCATCAGGAAACAGAAGATGCCTAAATCACTACAACACTGAGAGAGCTGAAGAGGAAGGATTTTGTAAGGTTTGAGGTTATGAAGGGATGTGACGCTGTGTAGTCCACTGAAAGTCAATAGAAATTGAGGGAGGTAATGTAGCCTCCGGGGAATAATCCGAAAGGAGCTTACCACATCCTGTCGCGCTAGTTTCTTGCTCGGCTTATCCTTCGACTCTGAAGATAGTGACGACATGTTACCCGCAAACGTCGGTTGACATTCAACGGCCTACACAGCGTTATGTCCAAGGAGACAAAATTCTTCAGAATGGATTATATATGAGAATATATGAGTAACTACATGAATTCACTCCATTGGTACCCGATATTGCTTCATGTACTTTGCCCTTTACTTCACAGACAGTCAACCCTGTTCTGAACTCACATATTTATTTTATCACAAATTGTCAATGAATAATCCGTCGAGTGTAACAATGTTTCTAGGTCACTTATTTATTTCACTCGCCCTACATGTTTCGGTTTAAAATAAACCATCATCAGGGGCACGTTTACAAACACATGAAACCACTGGCGTTGTATAATTTACACAGTATGTAAGCTGCGTGAACACTGCTACAGATGTCGGAGTGTAAAAGCACAACACTTTCTAGTAGCGTTGAATGCACGTACAATTCTTGCATTCCATCCGAAGAATGCCCTCAAATTGAGCCGTCAATGTTAAAATATTTAAAAGTTTAAAACATTTGAAATAAAATGTTC